AAACTACGAAGATGACGAGGAATGACGATCACGCTTCACATGAACGGCCTAGCTCTTCTTCCTCTTCTTCTCCCTCAAACGTGTACCCACCGGAGCTTCGTCGGAGACCTCTTGGGCTGCTTGCTGCCTTAGCCGAACAGGGGGAAGGGGAAGAGAGAGTGGGTGATGATGGGACTTGATGGTGGGGGTTACAAATTGATGAGGAACATGAATGTAGTGGGGGGGTTTATATTGAAAAGAATAATGAAGGAATAATGAGGAGGTTAATGGAGATTTTAATGGGGAGTTGAGGGGAGATGAAGTGGTGTGGCGTGGGATGGGAGTTATCTCCCTAAATTTACTCCGTTGAGTAAAAATCTGACCTGAACGGTACACGTTTTTCCCCCGAACGGGTTCGAATTGAGATCCGTTTGTGTTTCCGGAATCAGACAGTCAAAATGAACTTAATGACATGTTCAAATAATTTTTCTAAGAACTTTATTTTCAAACTTATGGGTCCACCCCAATCATTAATTTATTTATTTATATAATGTTGAGAGGTCCGTTATTAAAACATCTTTTTATATTTAACACACATTAACTTTTGAAAACCATTTGTAGAGATCAAAATCTCAATTTAAAATAATGAGTCTCAATAAATAAATAATATTTATTTATTTAAACTAAGCCGGTTTGTAGGGCGTTACAATTATCTCCCCCTTAAAGGAATTTCGTCCCCGAAATTCTCCTCAAGTCACACCTCACGTGTTTTAGGGAGATAGTGGGTTACCCAAAACTTTATTTTGTGAAGCATACGTTTGCATAATAAATTAGAGACCAATTGACGAATTCATTCAAGAAACATATTTGGTTTAGATAGGTGGGACAAAATGTTGCATCGATTACGGCTTTGACTATGTCATCAGTTAGCAGGCAACCCACTCCCACTCGTCTGGTCGGGCTGAGTCCACTGGAGGATTATCCCCACCTGAGCCGCAGATACTATTAGCAGAGTCCACACTGAGCGTTTCCTCTGGATCATCTCTTTCCCATGCTGCCTTTCGGCGCTTCCAGATTCTTAGCTTTGCTATCCGAGCCTTGCGGTGTGCACGTTGGTAGCGCTCTTTTGATTCGTAACTTTGCCTCTTGTTCTTTCGTCTCTTACCGAGCACGAAGGTTCGACTGGAGTCAACGCTTGACACGCTTCCGGTAATGATGGTACTCATCTAATAATCGTAGAGTATCAAAATGGGATCAAGTGAGCGTATAACGCAATTAGTATGACGCTTCGATATGTACTCACGTGCTCAGGCTCCCCATGCGGGACAGCCTGTCTATCGTTGCCTGGTGCTTGACCCATTCTTTATGGAATTAACTTAAATGAGAACTAATTACAATATGATATACATGTGAATAAAAATAACGGTGTACCTTTCCCTGGGAGTGATGCGATGGGAGATGCGGCTGTGGACTTTTGAAAATACCTTTTGACCCAGATGACAAAATATGTTTTTTTATCTTTTTTTCACAAGAACCGAACGCTCTGATACCAAATTGTAACACCCGCCTTCCGTGGGCCTGGTTCACCCGCGACCCAACGGACCGGTAGGGTTACATGGGCGGTCCGAGAACCGTCCGTTACAAAAACATTAGTGATTATTTAATGTGAAAACGGTTACATTTGATTGATGGGATATTAATGACTATTTATTATGAAAACGTTTGTGTTTAATTGGTGTAGTAAATGTTAGGATAATTATCCAAAACGTGAGTGATATCAATGCAGAGTAAAAGCGGAAGTAAATAAATGAGTAAAACGACAAATGGTGGGTTCATGCCCAAATGATTAATTAATTAAATGTATTCAGTTATTGAACTTGTCCATGCGCCGCCCATCTTCCCACCATCACTGTCCTCCAGGGTTGGCACCCGCACCGTCATGTCTACCTGCGTGTAGCAAAAACAACTACACGCTCAGCAAAAGCTGAGGAGTGAATCTAACAAAAGAACATTAAGTGATAACCCATATGGCTATACACATATTAATACCTGTACTTAACGTACGGTAAACCACATGTTACTAACAGGTTAATTTACANTTGCTGCCTTAGCCGAACAGGGGGAAGGGGAAGAGAGAGTGGGTGATGATGGGACTTGATGGTGGGGGTTACAAATTGATGAGGAACATGAATGTAGTGGGGGGGTTTATATTGAAAAGAATAATGAAGGAATAATGAGGAGGTTAATGGAGATTTTAATGGGGAGTTGAGGGGAGATGAAGTGGTGTGGCGTGGGATGGGAGTTATCTCCCTAAATTTACTCCGTTGAGTAAAAATCTGACCTGAACGGTACACGTTTTTTCCCCCGAACGGGTCTGAATTGAGATCCGTTTGTGTTTCCGGAATCAGACAGTCAAAATGAACTTAATGACATGTTCAAATAATTTTTCTAAGAACTTTATTTTCAAACTTATGGGTCCACCCCAATCATTAATTAATTTATTTAATTAATGTTGAGAGGTCCGTTATTAAAACATCTTTTTATATTTAACACACATTAACTTTTGAAAACCATTTGTAGAGATCAAAATCTCAATTTAAAATAATGAGTCTCAATAAATAAATAATATTTATTTATTTAAACTAAGCCAGTTTGTAGGGCGTTACACACAAAGCCTTCCTCATATGCATAACCTCATCTCGTTTTCCATTATCAAAAAGGGGGAAATTGTTGAAACACGGGCTTATCACGTTTTTGTACTAAAGCCGGGTTTGTTTTTATGACAGGTTTTGATAATGCCAAACCACCGTTATCAAGTCAAACATTGAATAAACAAGGCGAAGAAGGAAGACAAGAACAAGAGCTAAACGAAGACCAAGAACGGAGACCTTAGTCTTAGCTTCATTGAGTCGGTCCTCATTGTGATCAAGACCGACCCAATCTTTACACCTTGGCTCTTTAGGCTAAAATCCTTCATTGCATTTCTCACATCATAAAAATGTTTTTCAAACTTGTTCAAGTCATTAAAAACACTTGGTGTTCGCCCAAACCAAAAACCAAGCCATCCAGCGTTCGGGTTTCAAAAACCGGCGTTCGGCTTTCGGTTATCGGCATTGGTTTTTGGCGTCCGAACCAACCGAGTGGTTTTCAACTTTTTATGATTGATTTTCACTCTTTTGCATGCTCAAATGGTTCTCCAACAAAAACACTTTGAAAACCATCTTTCGCTTTTGGTCGTTTGGAAAAAATCATTCAAAACGGTGTAAACTTGGCTAGCCGTGGTTTTCACTCAAATGACGTGGTTTTTAAAGTGTCTCACTTGATTTCTTAGCCATATACATCAAATAAGTGTTTTAAACACTTGGTTTGTTTTTGGAGAACTTTGGATTTTTCGGTCGGTTTTTGCATTGGTCGGCTAGGCCGTGGTTAAGGCAAAAACCATTGGGTTTTTTGCTAACCATCCACCCAGCGATGGGAAGATCTTCCCATCGATGGGTAAGCGGTCCCTTAGCCAAACCAACTTCCAGAACCATGCCAAACAGCGATGGGAAGTTCTACCCATCGCTGTTAAAGCCTTGGTGCAAAATCAACGCAAGGCAGAACAACCTTGCCCAGCGATGGTAAGGCTAAACCATCGATGGGAAGGGATGACCATTGAAGGTCATTTAAGGTTGATTCTTTCCTTGTTTGGAAGTCAACCTCCCACCCAGCGATGGGAAGCTTGTACCCATCGATGGGTAGGTAACCGTTGACTTCAAAACTGAAGGAAAATTGGCTTACCAGCGATGGGTAAGTCCCAAACATCAATGGGAAGCCAATATCCTGCAGATCCCAAATTTATTCAATCCCTTAAATCAAGCCAATCACCCCTTTAATGCATTGGTCCGTTGGAGCCTATTTTGACACTATAAAAAGGGGTGTTTGGGTCTGCTTTTCTCACCAATTCACTTCACAATATTCATACTTTCATTGCATTCAAATAACATCATTTTCCATAGCTTTCTAGAGCCAAATTGTGTGAAGATTGAGTTGTTCTTGAGCGTACTTAGTTTACTCATAATCTACTCTATAAGAGAGTCTCGTTCTTGAGTGTACTTGTGTTCTTAGACACGTTGAGAGAAAGTATTTCTCTCGGTTGATTCAAAGGAAGGGCTGTTTCCTTTGAAGGATTCGTTGAGGTTCGTGCGACTCGAACTCTCAAGTTGTAAGGGTTTGTTAAGCACCGTTAAGCTTAACGAGATAGTAGTGTAGCTCGAGAGAGTCTCTCGGGAGGTTGGATTAGCCACAAGTTGTGGTGAACCAGGGTAAAATTCGGTGTGCCTCTTACTCTTTTCTTTACTTCTCTCTTAAATTTTTAATTCCTGCGATTTCTACGATCAAACGCTATTCACCCCCCCTCTAGCGTTGGTCTATTATTCTAACACTCCGCCGCCCTTGACCGGTGGTTGACCGGTGTTGTTATTTTATTTTTAATTAATTTTTTAATTTTTAAAATTTAAAAAAAAGGTGAATTTTGGGGTTCAAAGTGGTGAGCTTTGCTTTATTTCCAGGTGAGCTTTGCATTATCCATTGGTGAGCTTTGTAGTGTTGTGTGGTGAGCTTTGCTTTCTTAGCTTTTTTTTTAAAAAAAAAAGTGGTGAGCTTTGCATTGTTCCTTGGTGAGCTTTCTATTGACAGTTGGTGAGCTTTGCATTGATAGTTGGTGAGCTTTACATTTTGACCGCCCATGACCAATGGCCACCACCGATGACTCCCACTGTTGCCGTGGACCGGTGGTTGAGCGGTGGTTGAGTGGTGGTTGAGTGGTGGTGTTATTTTTTTAACTTTTTTTATTTAAAAAANGTGAGCTTTGCTTTCTTAGCTTTTTTTTTAAAAAAAAAAGTGGTGAGCTTTGCATTGTTCCTTGGTGAGCTTTCTATTGACAGTTGGTGAGCTTTGCATTGATAGTTGGTGAGCTTTACATTTTGACCGCCCATGACCAATGGCCACCACCGATGACTCCCACTGTTGCCGTGGACCGGTGGTTGAGCGGTGGTTGAGTGGTGGTTGAGTGGTGGTGTTATTTTTTTAACTTTTTTTATTTAAAAAAGTGGTGAGCTTTGCATTGACAGTTGGTGAGCTTTGCATTGGTAGTTGGTGAGCTTTGCATTAGCAGTTGGTGAGCGTTCAATTGGCAGTGTTGTGTGTTGTGTCATCTCATTGAAGCATGTCATCTTACCATAAGGTGTCATCTCACTGGAGTCAATCCCATATATACACATACACACACACACACAGATATATATATATATATATATATATATATATATATATATATAATTATGTTATATTTTGTTCCTTAAATAATATTTGACAAACTTAATTATAATTAAAATGTCCAAATATAAATACTTATTTATATATGTGTTTGTGTATATTTGACAAAATTATTTATATATTGGAAGGAGGTGATTAGGCAGGATTTAGGACTTCTCACCCTGAGGATATGGCCTTAGATAGGAACCTTTGGAGAGCTAGGATTAGAGTAGCTGGATAGGAGCTCGGTGTTGTAGAGGTTGTTTGTAGTGTGTTGTGTTTGTTTGCAATCTTTTGCTATTGCTTGTACTTGTTGCGTACGTGTACTTGGTGCTTTACCCGTGCTATACTGTGTTCCCTTCCATATTTTTGTGAGAGTTGAGCTGGGGGCAAGGTCTGCGAACACACACCCTCCTCAGACCCTACTTTCTTGGGATTCAACTGGGATGTTGTTGTTGTATATGTGTTTGTGTATCTAATCATATTGTCACACAATATAATATACACAATATGTAAATAAAGTGCAACTTTACTCCACTTAAATATTCTACACTTTCATATGTTCTATGTGTGTGACCCTATTCTAGGCATCTATAAAATTGGCCATAGTATCGATTAAATACTACAAGTGATAAGCGGTTTCTAGCAACACATTATCACCCCCAAATTATAGATTAAAGCTCTTGGAACAATTCCTTCAACGACACATCCTATTTGTATAAACCTTATCCCTTTATCACTAATATCTTGATTTAACTCAAGGTATGGGGCGTGTCACCTTGTTAAAGTTAAATCGATGGTTTACTGATTCTTCGATTGACTTGTGGGATTCAAATAACATATTTATTTGGGCATGGCCATGCACTTCCCAAGTCACATCAACCAATGGGCCCTAAGATATTATACTTCATCAAAGAAGGGATAAATTCTATCTACGTCATTCACAAAGTAAATCATGCCTCAAAGTATACAACTCAACTTACCAAAGAATGTAATGACTTCAAGTCAAAGGATAGTTATACTAATGGTCGCATGAGAATAATATTAACACTTTAACTCAAACCCATATATTATTCTCATAGCGGGTCAATCCAGCAACATATCCAATATGGTTGCCTACGTATAGATTCAGATTACACTTTATCTATAGCCTATGAGACGCAGCTATCTCATCTCATACGTTTTAGTCTTGATATATTATGATGTTCATATTGTCATAATATTCAACTAAGGATATTTTAGACGTAGCTTCATCTTTGTAACAGCCTCATAATTAGAACGTCGTAGTTCTCATCTATGTTACTAGAGCGCCTACTCTATGGACTAAAGCTATGTTTAAATCACACGAGACGACTTAAACAATCTTTAGAGCCTACTTTTCTTGATATAATATAGATATGGAATCATAAGTTGGCCTCTAGGGCTCACTTATATTCAACAATCTCCCACTAGCACTAAGGCCAATTATGGTTTCCATTTATGCCTCATGCACGAAGTGTGACCCTCGTGTATAGGTTTTCCCAAAGCCTATGTCAATAGGTTAAGAGATTGTTTATCCTTTTCTATCTTGCAAATTTTGATACTTTCATTTTACGACTGTTCGTATAATGTGGTGAGATCTAATGACATCTTGGTTTCAAGGTGTAGCTTCTTTAGCTCCTGTAGTAACCCTATCGTTGTCAGTACAACGACATATTGGTTTCTTATGCTGGGAGCAACGCTATCCTTTTAAGAAGATATCAAAACCAAAACATCTTCCTCTTTGCTACTTCCAAAGTTGCAAATTTATCTTACCTATATGCGTATGACACCATGTCAATACTTGTCAATATATGTTTTGTTAATTTCAACCTACCTTATATAGTTGTTCTAAACGAGCTATTTTGTGTGTAACATTCACACTTAAGACATTTTAGAAAACCATACTCCTTTGTCTCTTCTTAAGAATCAAAAGTTAACTTTTACAAAGTTGACTACTATTTTTAGCTCAGCTTGGACATATATAAAATATATCCTTTTAGAATGAATCAAGTCCATATCTCATGGTACTCCATGGAATGATTTCCATGCGGTCCTTTTACAGAGTGAGTCTCCAAAAAGGCTTTACCTTGAGATTCATGCAAGTCTCAAAAAACTTCCATGTATGTATTGGTCTTAGATTATTCCTAGTTCTTTGATCCATCTATATGGATTCTTTAGTCTTGAGCACATAACTACTATTTGCATTCATGACTAATAAGTTTTAATTTATTTTGTCAATGATATGCAACATACTTATTGTGCTCCCACTAGTCTTCAATAAGACTTAGGATCCTAGACATATAAGTGCTATAACTGGTTATAGATAATTCGAAACCCTTCTCTTATCTTTGATAGACTCATCCATAATAAGTGTTTTAAAGTGTCTTCATTCATATGAGACTTACTTTCATTACTTGTTATTTAAGGAAGGAATCGTTTTGGAACAGTTTCCAAGTGCTCTTTCCTTTCAGAGTCTACAATGATCATTTTAGTGTTTAAGGTTCCGTAGTATTTGGCAAGGTTACATTATCCTCTTTATTAGACTAACTATATTAGTCACGTTATCTAGATAACGTTTCATGGGACGTCAATGATCGTATCACTTTTTTCTTTCCTATTATGTATTTTTGGCATTAATATCACTTGATCTTTATTAAGTGTGCTTTATTAATGCTAATGGCAAGTTTAAATTTCGAAAATTTAAATAGAAAGGGTACTTGGCTATAACCTTTATAAAGATATCCTTATATCTCTAAGTGGTTATCACTTTATTCACAATTTTGTGACAAACTTATTAACTGATTAATATTTGCACTTTGTAGCCTTGGTATAGTTGTTGTATTTCCTTGTGAGGCAAAATATTTGATCATATGAAATACTTCTATAAATGGAGAAACAATTTGTCCTTTATTGAAATAACCAATAGTACTTAAAACAATAAGTAAACATCAATTCAAAATTGAAAAATTGATCAAATACTAAAACTTAAACTAATGCGCCACTGAGCTGCAACCCTTGCATCTTCAAGATCAACATTCCTACTACTTCTCTTCAGTTCCTGCAACGGTTTGCAATAATATAAGTATCGAATACTTTTGAAGAAATTGTAGATTAGTTTAAGTCTGTACAACAATTGTACCTGAAGCAGAAGCTTCACCCCTTTTCTTGGTTGCCAAATACTGTTTGAAATTCCTCTTCCAGTGGCCAACTTCACCACAGTGATGACAAATGGTATCTTTAGCCACTCCACCTTTAGGTTGAGCTTGGAAGAATTGGACTTTGGCTCGGTGTTACCCTTTCCTTTAGGCCCATTCTTCTTTGCCTTTTTGAACTTCTTCTTGCCTTTTCCTCCTTGAACTAGAAGGACACAATTCCCCTTTCCTTTCGTCAAGCTCTCTTCAGCAGTTTGCAGCATCTTCAAAAGTTCTAGCAGTGGTTTATCAAGTTCATGCATCTCGTAATTAACCACGAACTACTTGTACAACTCTAGCAACGATTGTAGAATCAGATCAGTTGCAAGTTCAGTCCTTAGTTCGAAACCCAATTTCTCAAGAGTTTGGACGTAGCCAATCATCTTGAGAACATGCGGACCAACGGGGTTTCCAACTCACAACTTGCAACTAAAGAGAGCTTTGGAGATTTGAAATATCTCATGTCTAGCTTGTAACGACCCAAAACACACCCTAGAAATATTAATGAATAATTATTCAACTAATCAAATTTGTTTTGATTAAAATAAATTATTATTGGGCTTTGGGCCCATATGAAATATTTTTTAATATCCAATATCAAAATCTGGATAAGTCTCATAGAGATAAATCCAATATGTGGAATATTTTAATTTTGTGAACATGATTGGGAACCTGAGTACAGACCCAAATCAAGAATAAATAAATAAATTAATTATGATGTGAACTTTGTAATGATTTATTGAAATAAATCATGAGAATAATTGATATGAATTAAATAAGAGAACCTTTTATGAGAAAGGTCAATTAAACCAATTTTGACTCTGTCAAAGTCAAACACCCAAAAATATGGTGTCCGAAAAAGTATTACAAATAAATATAAAAATTATATTGTTAGATAGAGTTTAACTGTGTGATCGCAACGGTGCAAATGGAACTCATTTCGGAGAAAGTTGGACCGAAAAGTGTACCCCGAGTTTGGTCCCAATCAGAGAACTATTCAATCGGCGCCTCCCAGCGCACTAGCCGATCAATCATCATCATCCTGCGTCTTCTTCCCCCTCATCCTGCGTCGTCTTCCTTAGCCTATATAAGGAATAATCAAAATCTTCAAATCTGCACCATTCTTTATAAAATTTATCCCATTAGAATCCTAAGAGTGAGGAGAGCATTTTGCAATAGTTTGTTGCCGCCAAAGTTGCCAGAGCAAGCGGTGGTGTTCGTCGGAAGTTTCACTGTCCAATCGCCGGAATCATCGTTAAGCTACGAAGTAAGCCCGTCGATATATCTAGTGATTAGAATGTTCGTATAGATCGTTTCTACATTTATAAACGGTTGTTTGGTTGAGTTTTGTGTTTGACATGTTTGAGGAACCAAGAATCATAAACCTTGAATTTGTTGTTAAAACTTCGAATTGATGCCTCTAAAAGGATCTACAAACCTTGGAGAACATTTCTATATAGTTTAATTGAAGTTTGGTAACCTAAAATGAAGTTTGAGGAAAATGGCCGCATGAAGAAGATGATGAATAGTAAATTTTTGTGCTGATACGGGACCCTGGTACCGTGTCTAAATACCGTGTCTAGGTACCGTCAGAAGAGAAAATTTTCAGAACGGTACGGTCGACCGTTCGGACCTAACGGTCGACCCTTACGAACATTTTTGAGTCTGAAAATGCTATTTTTGAAGCTATAAAATCCTATTTTTGACACCACTCAATTATGAACAATATGAATATGATTTATGAAATAAAAATGATTTTTGGACAAATTCGAAGGCTGTGTTATGCATGACGGTAAGCTAGGGTGTTAACACTCGAAACTAGGCTGCTATTTGTTAATAAATGTTATTATGACTATTATGATCTAATCTTGATAATATCCTAAAAAATGGTTATTATAATGGATAATGGAATATCATTGATAATAAATATCTATTATAATGATCAAATGGACGACCCGAGTAATTATGACTACATAACGATCATGATTTTATTATGACAAATAAAAATGTATAGAATTGAACGAAAGAACCGTAAAGATGAAATTATGAATAGATATGTTTGTTTGACTATCTTGAACTAAATTATGATTATGAATTATTGAACCACAATTCAAAATGAATAAATTGATCAACAAGAAAATGATGTGTATTGTTAAGGATATCTAAAAGACTTCAAGATATACCTATTAACTAATTGATGTTAAGACTATCTAGAAGACCTCTAGAATAGATCTTAGGATGAACTTATGAAAACATGAATAGTTGATGAATTCGATAAAAATGCATAAACAGGATTAGTAGACCAAACTAGTGGATTACTCGTTTGGGAATGCCCGATCCAATGTTGATCAATCACTATATTGTTGTTGCCTTAACTGACTACAGTTAAGTGTCCGAAATCGATTGCCTTAAACTAATGATAGTTTAAGTGTCTGATTGCCTTAACTGACTACAGTTAAGTGCCTGAAATCAATTGCCTTAAACTAATGATATTTTAAGTGTCTGATTAATAATTGTCTTTTAAGGATCTGGTTATGAAAATATGATTTGGCCTTAGACTAAGAATAGCTAAGAGCATTGTTATCATCTGGCCTTAGACTAAGAATAGCTAAAAGCATTGTTATGATATGGCCTTAGACTAAGAATAGCTAAGAGCATTGTTATTATTTGGCCTTAGATTTAAGAATAATCTAAGGGCACTGTCAGAATAATATCTGAATTGAATAAAATGTGTTGATATGAACTGAACATTATCAAAACTGTGAATGTCTGAAATGAACATTGTGTGCATGATATCAAATGATTTGATTATGAATTTAGATTCAGTTTATATGGATGTTCGATGCATTAGATATGCTTACTCAGCTTTACCGTTGAGCGTGTAGTGTGTTTTATTTGCTACACGCAGGTAAATAGAAAGAACAATGTGATCCTAGTGGCAGATGGGGCGAGATTGTCGCGATGGATGTAACAAATTTTGAAATAAATTATGATATGTCAATATTAAATTTGATTCCGCAATATTGTTGAATACTCCGTACTGTATATGTTATGAAAAATATTATTGGGATTAATAAAGTGTGTTTGAAAAATTTTAAATTTTTACGATTACCAAGTTAAATACTTTAGTCCGAAAGGGGCTGCAGACCTAGACGGATTAGGGTGTTTCATAGCTTGTCCTTGGGAGAGTTGTTTTAGGTGTATGATCATATCGTACGCCTTCATACTCTCATGATGTTTCTGAAGGTCAGAAGTCATTGTAGCCAACATGAGACATGCCACTTGATTGTCATCATCAACATGCTTCTCATAAGTATCCTTGATTGCTCTAGAAGCATTGGCGGATGGGATAGGTGGGATGGCTCGTTCAAGCACATATTCTTTCTTCTCGAGTCAAAGAACGATAACGAGGTTTCTTTGCCAGTCTAAGAAGTTAGAGTCGGTCAACTTATCTTTGTCAAGGATTGAGCAAAGAGTGAGGTTATGGTTGTTATCAGACATCTACATATAATTTGCAAGATAGTTAATATCAAGAATCTAAGTAATTAGCTAGGTCTTTAACTAATAACTCTCCCACTATTTTAACAAATCAACTACCCTCAAGTACGTAACCTGTTGATTCGAGACTTCTCCTAAAGAGAAATCTTAGTGGGCCAAGGTCCATATTACATTTAACTATAGTTGTACTTTGCATCTTGCCCTATAGTTAAACTAATTAGGTAGGAACTTATTTACAATTGTAATCAAATTACAATCCTTGGTTTGTTAGGTTGTTCTAAATAAAATCCTATATTGGGCCTAGATCCTTATTTCATCTAACTATAGTTGTGCTTTTCATCTTGCCCTATAGTTAAACTATTTCAGGTAGGAACTATTTCCAATTGTAACATTTTACAATTCTAGGTTAGATGAATTTGATTTTATTTATTAACCTAACCATGTGCCTCTAAGTTATTCATATTTTTACCTTAATCTAGTTAAGTTCAACCCGGGGCATACTCAGTATCCATTGTTACGGATTTCACGTCATACCA